AGCCCCAAATATAATCCACTCTACAACCCTCATTGCATACTCCTACGATAAAAACAATGCCCTAAAATATAATACTTTTAGACTATTCTCTTCCTCTTTTTAAAAGAGTGTCAGGTTTTCTTGCTGTTATCTTTCAATTTGTTAAATATGTTGGGTTAGAGAGATAATGGTGATTTTTTTCCCTGCCTTTTGATACGTTTGCTTATTGCTATAAATTAACCTCTTATTACTGCTTTGGCTGTTTCCCAGAGGTTTTGGTAAGTGGTGTTTTCATTGTCATTTATTTCAAGAAACGTTTTCATTTCATTTTTTATTTCTTCTAGTACTCACTCATGTTCAAGCAAGATGTTGTTTAGTTTCCAAATACATGGGTTTTTTTCCTCTCTCCTTTATCCTCTTCTTATTAATTTCTAATTGTGTATCATTTTATTCTGAGAAAATGCTTTGTATTATTTCTATACTTTTTAATTTATTGATGCTTGCCTTTTGACGTAAAATGTGATCTTTTTCTAGAGAGTGTTCCATGCACATTGGAGAAGAAGGTATACTGCTGGGTTTTTTACGGTGCATTAGCCTATATATACACGAGATAGAGTTGTTTTAATGTATGGTTTAATTCTTGAGCATCTTTGTTGAGTTATTTTCTGGTAGTTCTATCTTTTCTTGAGAGGGGAGTATTGAAGTCTCCAACTACTATAGTAGTATTGTCGATTTCCTTTTTCAGTTTTGTTAATTTTTGTTTTATATATTTTGCAGGTCTTTCATTTGGTGCATAGGTATTTTTTTATTGTTATATCCTGTTGTCCTATTGACCCTTTAAGCATTATGTAGTTACCTTCCTTGTCTGTTTTAATGGTTTTTGCATTGAAATTTATCAGAGATTAATATCGCTATTCCTGCTTTTTTTCTGGTTGCCATTTGCTTGGTTTATTTTTGCTTGTATTTTTATTTTTTGTCTTTCTTTGTTTTCATTTTTCATGTGTGTCTCTTGTAGAGAGCATAGTGATAGATTTTGGTTGTTTACACAATTTGCTACTCTTCTTCTCTTCAGTGGTGCATTCAAACCATTCACATTCATTGTGATTATTGAAAGGCAAGGTTTTATTGCTATCATTTTGTTGCGTTTTTTTGGTTTTTTTGTTTGTTTGTTTTTGGTGTTGTTGCTAGTTACTTTGGTCCATGCTGCTTTCTGTGGTACCTCTGTAAGAAGGACATCTCTCAGTGTTTCCTGCAATTCTGGTCTTGTTTTTACAAACTCTCTTAGGTTCTGTTTTTCTAGGAATATTTTGATCTCTCCTTCATATTTGATGATAATTTTTCTGGGTACAGTATTCTTCATTGACAATTGTGTTCTTTGAGTGTTTGATATATGTCTTTCCACTGTCTTCTTGCTCGCATGGTTTCTGCTGAGAAATTGGCATGTAATCTTATCTGCTCTCCCTTATAGGTTACTCTTTGTTTCTCCCTCACTGCTTTCAGAATTATCTCCGTATATTTGGTTTTGGTAAATTTGACTATGATATATTTTGGTGTTTTTCTTTTGGGGTCTATTTTATATGGTGTTCTCTCAGCTTCTTGAATATATATATTTCTAATTCTTCCTTATGTCTGGGAAGTTTTCCTCTAGTAATTCTTCCACAACTTTTTCAGTGCCTTTATTTGCTTCTTCCTGTTCTGGGATTTCAATAAAGTGCATGTTATTTCTCTTTTGGTGTCCCACATTATTCTTTGGTTTTCTTCTTTTTCTTTCCTTTTTGATTCTGCTTTTTGCTCTATCTTCTATTTCACTGGTTTTGTGTTCCATCTCTTCAACTCTGCTCATGTGTCCCACCAAACATGTTGACAGCATCTGAAACATTGGACCTCATATTTTGGATCATGGTTTCTTGTTCTGGATTGTTGTGGTTTTTTTTTGTTTGTTTGTTTTAAGTTTTTGCTGGTTTTTGCTTGAAGTATCCTGTAATTATTCAAGTTTGCCTCTCATCCACTGAAAATATTCAATCACTGTTCTTTTAAATTCTGTGTCAGTAAGTTCCATCAGACTTTCTGGCTTCAGGAAATCCATTGATACTGTGTCACCTTTTGGGGTTGACATCTTGCTTCTTACTTGTGTAATGTGTGGGAGAGCTTGCTTTCTTCGAGACACTAATATGTTCTTGAACTGAAGACAATGCTCTAGAAATCAGTTGGGCAACTACCCCAGTTGTGTTTTTCTTTAAACTCAAGGCAAAGTTCAGTTCAGGCCCTGTGAGAAGAGCCTCTTGTAGGTAAGTGAGACCACGGTGCTCCAGATAAAAAGCAAGTTGATTGACTGGACGTGTAGGCACAGATGTGGAGCTGAATGGGGGGTGGGCAGGCACAGGAGAGTGGGGTGACCACAGGGACAGTTCAACCACTTGTGGGATCTCACTCTGACATCAATTGTCTGGGTATGCTCACGAGTGGGGTCCCTACTCAAATTCCAGCTGTCCGTCTCCCACCCAGCAGCTCTTGCTCAGCAGCCCCTGCCCAGTGGACCTTACCTAGGTGCCCTCGTACAGCAGCCCCTGTCCCAGCAGGGCCCTAGGTCCAGCAGGAGCCAAGAAGACCCAGTCAAATTCCCACCAACCCACTCACTCTAGTTGGTCTGCAGTGTCCATGAAAGTTCAGTCAAATTCCCACCAGCCCGCTTGCTTTTGGGTGCTCTCTCAAGGCAGTCAATGGTGCCCAAGAAAACTCAGATAAATTCCCACCAGCCCGCCCATTCCTGGTCAGTCAGCAGGGCCCAAGAAAACTCAGCCAAATTCTGATCAGCAGGTTCACTCTTGGGTGCTCTCCTAGGCAATTAGGGGTCCCCACGAAAACCCAGTCAAATTTCTACTGGTCCGCCCAATCATGTCTGGTCAGCAGAGGCACAAGAAAACTCAGTCAAATTCCAATAGACCCACTTACTTATAGTGGGGCTTAAGACAACTCAGCCAATTTCCCCACTAACCTTTTTCCTGGTGGATGGATCCCACAGCAGCTCAGTTGGCAGCTTCCCATTTTGGCCAGGTCTGCAGCAAAACCAGTGGCATGGCTCTATGTTCCTGTAGCTCCAAAACGAATTGTTCCAACAAAAGTTCTGATTCAAATTCCTACTGTCCATGTCGTGCTGTGTTGGTCGGTCTTTGTGCAGCATGAAGGTCTTTCTAGTGGCCCATCTCTATGCAGCTTGCTGCTCCTCCAGGTCTTCACACTGCTCTCTCTACTGCCACCATCTTGGAATCTCAGAAAGATTCAGATTTGTTCTTCACAGGGTCACTAAGGCCTGTAGTTGACTTAGTAGCACCAGACCATAACAAGAAATTCCTTATGTATTCTGTCATTCTTTCCTAGAATTAATCGACCATAGGACATACTTGTACAAAAAAAAACTTGAGTTGGTTATCTTTCCCTCCGCCCCCCAGTTTTCCATCCCACCATTGACAGTTGACAGTTTCATTCTTTTCTCCATATATCATAACGCTGCCTATAGGTCTAGTGGTGTGAACTTTTGTTTTTTGATGTTGAGATATAATCCATATTGAAGACTGTAGCCTTTGATCTTCTGTAGCAAGTGCTTCACGTCTTCCTCACTTCCAGCAAGTAAAGTTGTGTTATCTAAATAGGCCCTTCCAAAAAAATTTAATTGATTGTCATCAAGTCAGATTTGACTCATAAGTGATCTTCCATTGATTTTCCAAGGTCATCATTCTCCTATGAAGCTTCAGGTGGATTTGAATCACCAGAGAGGTGCACCTTTGAGTTAACAGCACTTTCTAAGGACTATATCACCAGAGCTCCCTAGGTAGGTAGCATAAATGGTTTTAACTTGACTGCTAATCCAAAAGTTGCTGATTCAAACTCAGTGACACTGTGGAAGATAGGCCTGGCTTTGGTTAAGCTTACAGCCAAGATTAAGCTGTCATTAATATTACTGACAAGGATCCAAGATGGCAGCGGAGGCAGAGACAATGTGGTGAGCTGCGGGAGCAGTGGACCACTTGGAAAAGGGCCATTATGACCCTCTATAGACTTCTCTTTATTGATAATTGAACAGTTAAATAGTTGATGACTGGTCTTCAGTGAGGATTGAGGCTCAACAACAGGAATTCAAGGATTCCCAAGGAAGAATGGGTGAGTGCCACAGCTCCCAACCCCCTCCCACAGAGCCCGCACTGCGCCTCACTGCAGCCGCAGCTCCATAAAGTTCCCACAGCTGGAACTGATGTAATCCCTCACCCAGGATGGAGGGTGGGCACCGGGTCTCCCCAGGACTGGTGTGGCGGAGTCACCACACTGCAGCAAAGTGTACTTGTTCTGGGGAGAATTCTTGGAGCCAAGATGGCGGTGGCAGGGTAAGCAGGCAGCCACTGGCCTCCCATGCGCGAGATGACATGTGAATATCAGCCACCCGTGTGGGAGATGACTCGCGGGAGATGGCTTGCACCTGCCAGCCACCCACATGGAAGATGGCACTCGCCCAGCAGTCGCCTGCTTGGGGGATGGTGCATGCCTGCTGGCTTCCCGCACACAGGATGGCACGCCTGCCAGCTGCCCGTGTGGGAGATGACACTCAGGAGGTGGCTCACGCCCACCAGCCACCCGCATGGAAGATGGCACGCGCCCAGCGGCCACCCGCGTGGGAAGATGGCACACGCCCACCAGTCAGCCATGTGGGAGATGGCACGCACCTGCTGGCTGCCCCGCGGTGGGGGATTGTGCGCACCCGCTGGCTGCCTGTGCATGAGATGATGCAAGCACTCCGAGAGATGACGTGTGCCCGCCGGCCGCCCGTGCTGGGGGATGGCGTGCACCCACCCCCACCAGCTGCCCACGTATGAGATGACGCGTGCCCGCTGGGAGATGGCGCCCGCCCGCCAGTCGCCTGTGTGGGGGATGGCTCACGCCTGCTGGCCGCCCCTGCATTGGGGATGGCGCGCACCCACTGGCTGCCTGCGCACGAGATAACACGAGCACTCCAAGAGATGATGCAAGCCCTCCAGTCACCCACAGGCGAGATGACGTGCACCTGCCAGCTGCCCACGCTGGGGGATGACACGCACCCACCCCCGCCGGCTGCCCATGCACAAAATGATGCACACCTGCCGAGAGAGGACGCATGCCCGCCGGTCGCCCGTGTGCAAGATAACGCACCTGCCAGCTGCACTGGGGGATGGGGCCTGCCAGCTGCCCGCGCACGAGATGATACGTGCCCGCCGGTGGGAGATGACACGCGGAAGATGGCGAGCACCTGCCAGCCACCTGCGCTGGGGGATGGTGTGCACCTGCCAGCTGCCCACAGGGAAGAAACAACGTGCACCCCGCCACCCGTGGGCAGGATGTGTGCCCCACCACCTGCAGGTTTGGGTTTCCTTGGAAAACCAGAGAAGATGATCACCTATACAATGGATTGTTGAAAGTCACTGTGAGTTGTCTACTTGATGACACTTAACAGTGGCAACATGTCCAAGAGGACCAACATCCTAAATGCACCACATATTTTGATTTGTTGAATGCTTCTGTCAAAAGATGTTTAGACCTGGGGGGAGCCTGTTCACAATTTTCAGGTTCCCTTTGCCATTTATAAAGGGGGAGGGACGTGACACCTACTTCAAATTATAGCATAACCACTTATGCGGGGGGGGGGTAAAAGTGGTGGTGCTGGAATTGGAGACGCTGTCCCTGGCCACACACTCCTTGGTCAGGTGAGGGGACCAGATTAGTGTGGGGGCAATTAGACGGGAGTGTACCAGCCAGCCCATGGGGGGTGTTGCCCTGCTCAGAATGGGCTGTCTTCGGCCCTCGGCTTGGGGTGAGCCATCACGGCCCTCTGCCCAGGGCGGGCAGTCTTTAGCCCTCTGACCAGGGTGGGCTGTCTTTGGCCCTCTGACCAGGGCGGGCTGTCTTCGGCCCTCTGCCTGGGGCGAGCTGTCATGGCCCTCAGGGTGAGCTCCTCAATCTCCAGATTGTGCCATCTGACCCCTGGGTAGGGAAAAAAATGCCTAGGATATCCAGAGAATTTTATCTAGGCTACTTTCTGCCACCCTCTCCCCAAGTAAACCTGAAAGCAACACCCCCAAAATCCCTCTATTTGTAACTCACAAGTTTGTTCTCTCTAGGTTTGCTCCCTTTCCTACAGGTAACCTTACCACTGAGTTTTACTTCAGACCTGACCCCAAACCCAGTGCCAGTGACAAAAAGGAAATACAACTACCAGCTAAAAAAGCAAAGGAGGATGGAGCCTCTGGGTTCAACCAGCCATCCCCACTGGACCCACCTGGGAAAACACTTTGCAGTCCAGAGGGGAGCAAATGACAGGAAAATATCTTCTAACAGAACAAGAAGGCAAGCAGCCTTAACCCAAGATCACCAGTAAGGTGATAATGTGTCCTCCCTTTCCCCCTTCACATCAACACCCCTGTTCAGCATGAAGAAGCCAGAGAGTCTGCATCCAGTTCCCAAATCAGTAAGACAGTTGATTTAACTACCACTGGAAAACGCTTGTCATTTTCCTGTAGCATCTGGTCCCCACTGGATCACTTTCATTTCCTTCACCTGCTCCCCCCACCAACCAAACTGTGCAGCTCTGCAACTGCATCCCTGCCCATTCTCACCCTTCTGCCCCAACCCTCACTTCCTTGTACCCCCAATTTGTTTTTTCCCCAATTAAAAAAATATAAAAATAATTTTAAAATAAAAAGATTACTGGCAAGATTTTATTTACCCATTCATCTGTTGATGGACACTCAGCTTATTTCCATCTCTTTACAATGACTTATAATGATTCACTTAACATGAATGTGTGTAAAGTTTAAAAAACTAAGATTCTGAGAAACGTCTCATAACATGGATGAACCTGGAGGACACTGAGTGAAATAAATAAATTACAAAATAACAAATATTGAATTAATCTAAAGGAAAATATTACACACAGAAAGAAACATTCTTTGATGGTTACTTAGGATGGGAGGGAATGGGAGAGAAAATCACTAACTAGATAAGAGTTACAAAATAAATTATGTAAAGGAAAAAGTAATAATATAAAAAAGGTGTGACTAGTATAATATTATTGAGTAAAATAAAATTATGGAGAAGTACACAAGAGTTATGTAAAACAAAGTTAATATTACATACACAATCTGGAATTATTTGTAATAACAGGCATTAATGTGTGAATGGATACATAAATTGACAAGCAAGATGAACAGGTATGCATAGGTGAGACTACATCCATGATCAGATGATATTTCTATATATGTATGTGCTATAAACAGATTTAAGTTGAATAAGCAGGGCAATATTATGAAAATTTCTTTTTTAAAAAGTTCTCTTTGAGTTGTTGCACATTTTCCTCCCTCCCCATTCTACCCCTTGTTCCAGACTGTTGTCAAACATATAATGCCTAATCATTTGTTTCTTTTAGACAACTTCTCCTCATTTGTTTTTAATGCAGTGCTCATTATCTAGCCACTCTTTTCCTATTCTCTCCCCAACTCCCAAATGTCAGTCCTATTTTATAACAATGCAGTATTATGCAGTGTTTGTGCTTTCATGACTATTTCACTTAACATAATGCCATCCAGGCTCCCCCATGTTGTGTAATGTTTTATAAATTCATTCTTTTTCAATGCTGTGTAATATTTCATTGTGTGAATGTACCATAGTTTTTCTATCCAATTATTTGTTGATGGACATTTGGGTTATTTCCATCTCTTTGCTATTATGAACAACACAGTAATAAACATGGGTGTGTTACATCTGAGAAGTGGCTCTAGTTTCTTTAGGGTATATTTACAGTAGTGTAATTGCTGAGTCAAATGGTATTTCTATTTCCAACTTTTTTAGAACACACCATGGTGGCTGTACCATTTCACATTCCCATCAGTAGTGAATAAACATTCCAATTTCTCCACAACCTTGCCTTTATTTGTTGTTTGCTGCTCTCTTGAACTTTGTTATTGTTGCTGGAGTGCATTGTTTTGATTGGAATCTCTCTGAAAAGGATTTTGAACATTTCTTCATGAATTTTTTTGCCATCTGGATGTCTTCTTTGGTAAAGTGTCTATTCATATCCTGTGCCCATTTTGTGATTGGGTTGATTACCTTTTTCTTGTTGAAGTGCTAGAGCATTCTGTAAATTTTAGATATAAGTTCCTTATCAATGATGTTATTGCCATATTTATTTCCTAGTCTGTGGGTTTCCTTAACCTTTTGGATAAGTTTTTTTATATGCATAGGGATTTGAATCTTAGAAGGTCTCATTCATCTACTTTCTTCTCTCCTTGTTATTAGTTTTTCATTATACTTGTAAGACAGTTCATGCTGTGGGTTAGAGAACCTAGAGTTCTTTCTAGTTGTTCTCTAATAAATCTTATAGTCTTTGGTTTTACTTCTACATCCCTGATCTACTTTGAGTTAGTTTTTGCCTTGTTTACATTTTCTGCACATAGTTTTCCAATTTTACCAACATCATTTGTTAAAGAGACTGTTATTTCCCCACTTGACTGATTTTGTCTTTTGTCAAAGATCTGCTGACCACAGATAGATGAGCTGATTTCTGGGTTTTCTATTCTATTCCATTGACCTATGTGTCTGTCATTGTACCAGTACAACGCTATCTTGACAACCATGGCTTTGTAGTAGGACTTAAGATCACAGAGTGTAAAGATTCAGACATTGTTTCTCTTTTTCAGTATTTTTTTTGCTTATTTAGGGTCTCTTTCCATTCCAGATAAAATTGGAAATTTTCTTTTCCATCTCGTTAAAGAATCAAATTGGTGTCTGTATTGGGATTGCATTGAACTTGTATATTACCTTGGTAGAATTGTCATTTTTTTCAATATTGAGTCTTCCTATATGAAAACTTCTGAGTCATAGACAAATACCTTAAAGGAATGAGTCACTAGGCCTGGGATCTCTGAACATGAAAGGAGAGATCAACATCAACTGGCATAACATAATCCACAAAGACAATGCTCTATATCCCATTTTGGTGAGCAGCCATTGGGATCTTAAAAGCTTTGAACAGTCATATTAGGTTCAACTATTCATCTCTCCCTGTAAAGAAAGTCCAAGGACTAGTGAACCAGGTCTTCAGTCTCTATCCTAAGACCAGAAGAACTAAATGGCACCTGAATAATACTGTTTACCATTCTGAAAGGGATGATGATAATAAAAGATCCCTGATAGGGTGGAAGAAAAATGTGGACTAAACTCAAAGTAAAAAACAAACAAACAAACAAACAAAAACACAAGACTTATGATTCAACTTTCAGCTGAACAATAGAAAGTAAACAATAACACCAGGAAGAAATATACTCCTTAGAGCAATCAATGATACAAGACCAAAGTGCAGCATGTGCCCAGGGATAGAGCTATCCCTAGGCAACTACCTGGCCAACTGGCTTGAAGAGATCCATATTTATTCCCATTTGAAAAAAAAAAGTGATCCAAGAATGTGTGGAGATTATCAAACAATATTACTAATGTGGCACACAAGCAAAATCCTGCTGAAGATTATAAAAAATAAATGACTAGAGAACTAGCAGAAGTGCAATTTGGGTTTAGGAGAGGCTGTGGCACTAGGGCTATCACAGCCAATGTCAGATGGTTCTTGGCTAAAAGCAGAGAGTACCAGAGGAATGTCTACCGGTGTTTAATTGACTATGTAAAGGTATTGGACTGTGTGGAACCAAACAAATTGCAGCTAACATAGAGCAGAATGTAAATCCCAGAACACCTGACTGTGCTCATGGAAAGCCGCCTATACTTGGACTAGTATAGTTAGACAGAACAGAGCATGGTTCAAAAGCAATAAAGCAGGGATGCATCCTTTCTCCATACCTTTTCAATTTATATGCAGAACAGATCACTTGGGAGGCTGGACTTTATGAGGAAGAACGTAGTATCAGGATTGTAGGAAGACTCATCACCAATCTAAGCTATGCAGACGGCACAACCTGGTTTGCTGAAAGTGAGGAAAACCTGAAACATTTGCTGCAGAAGGTCAAGGAATACAGTCTTCAGTATGGATTGAAGCTCAACATCTAGAAAATAAAGATTCTCGCCACTGGGCCAATTGGCAATGACAGAATAGAGGGAGAAGAGATTGAGATTGTTAACAATTTCCGTTTACTAGGTTCCACAATCAATAAATACTCTTGGCATCAACAGTCAGGAAATCAAAAGATTAATTGCATTGGGTAAATCTTCTGTCAGGGACCTCTCCAGGGTGCTAAAGCATAATGATGTCAGTCTAGAGTCTAAGGTACACCTGATTTAGGCCATGGTCTTTGCAATTACATATTATGCAACAGAGAGCTAGACAAAGACTAAGGATAATAGGAAGGAATCGATGCTAT